CTGCCTTTTGTTCCATTTTCTGTCACGATAATCTCACACTGCTTCAGTAATGTTGAGATCCAGGCTTTGGGGAGGCGAATCCGTGACTGATAGTGTTCCAGTGTGTGTTTTTCAATACAGGTTTGCTTTTACTACATTGGCAAGTTGTTTGGATCATTGCCATGCTGAAAAATCCAAATGTTGGCAATCAGATGCTTTCCACATGGATGATGGCTCAAAATCAGCTTCACAGCTGTAGCTTCACAGGTTCTCCACAAGGGTGTGTCCATTCCTCAGTGCATTTCTGGTAAGAAACACCTGACTCCTGCTTACCATACTGAGCTATTTTAAAATAATCTGTTTTCTCATATATCAGATATTTGAATAAAAATATGTATGTGGTTTCTATAGATAGATAGATATATAGAGCCTTTTACAGGAAGATTCATTAACAAATAAAGAATTAAGAAAATTTCTTATTAAGGAAAATGTGTATTCTGAACAGTTTGTGAAAACCTCCTTAAGGCTGCTTTGGTTGGTAGCATATACCTGTAGTCATAGTTTAAATGGAAATAATGGACTGTATGAACACACATTTAATTGCGAATCAAACAAAATTCCATTGTGGTTTGCCTTATGCTTTATGTTTCTATTAAGCTTGCCAGTGATAGCTAATAAAGCTTATTTTGAGTTTATGTTTGTCTAAGGAGTCCTGCATATTGGGTCTCCACCTACCACACAGCACCCCTTGATAATAATTTCTGTTGCTGCAGCGTTCTGAGGATTTAAGCCTGATTAGAGCTATTGTGGTTTTCTGAATTGTGTTTTCAAACGATTTTCTTGTAAATCTGTGGAAATTTGATTTCATGTTCAGCATCCTAATTCCATTCATTCTGTTGAAATTGCATTGGTAACTCATTGAAGTGTTACTGAGTATTCATAAACAGCCACTTTGTACGTACAGTGAGCGAATGGGTTGGTTGAACTAAATAAGGTTGAATTAAATTGACTCATTAGAACTACGTTGACTCATATTGATCAGAGAGTTAGAACAACAACTAAAAGAAACTTAGATTAACCTGAAAGGAACTAATCAGGCTTAACTGGTATTGGACACAGATCAGGATTTAAAACCAAACCTAAAGTGGGACGTGAGAGAGATTTTTTTTTGTTTTTTTGTTTTTTTTTGTTCTTTTCTTCTTTTATTTAATTCCTTCTGGGATTTAGATCCAACAACTTAAGTGCCGAAACTGTACGTACACTTCTGTGTATTCCATTTTCCATAAAACAGCCAGCAGTTCAAAATTTACGATGGTCTGTTTGTTACTTCAGGTTTCCAGTATAAACTGCTCTTGTAAATCTAGATTCTGGTCCTAGCTATCTGTAAATATCTACAGTGCTACAATATGTTAACTGTTTTTTTGTTTTTTTTGTTTTTAAAGAATATGTTCAATTTTTCCTTCATCTATTTATTTTTTTCATTTTTTAAATCCAAATATGTATAAAATTTTTGGTCTTCATCAGTCTAAATAATGAATATTATACACATGTTTCTCTTATATTAAACATCTGCTGATATTCTGGCCTGTAAGACAAACATAACTCTGTGTTTTTCATCTATCCCTTTCTTTATTGCGTGAGTCAAACCAGGAGATTGTGACAGATACTGCTAGAAATGTAAAACATAAATGTGCTGCCAAACCAACACATGCAGCTATCAAACCTTTCTTCATTTTAATTCTTAAAATGAATTATTCTTGAACGAAGACACTGATTTGACACATGTAAAAATATGGTTGATTGTGTTTATTCCCCCCTCCACCCATCTCCCTACCATGTTTTCTCAAAAGTGAACAGACGGTTGGGAGATGATAGAGCAAAGGAAGAAGTGGGGAAAGAGTTGCAAAGAAGAGGGTAAAGCAAGGATAGAAGGCCGAAAAAGTGGTGAAAAGAAAGGATTAGAAAGGAGGAAAGAGACAGAGGAGAGAAAACCCCAACAATCCCTTCTGAGCAAGGAGGAAAAACTCCCTTTAAGCAGGAAGAAACCTGTGGCAGAAGGTTTGGGTGTGAGGGTGAAAAAAGAAAAGAAAAAGGATGAAGAATATATTGGAGAAAGAAAACATGGAGAGTGATGAAGAAGTGGTCGGGGAGAAAGGAAGAGGGGTGATGAGATAGAAAAGAGGTGGAGGAAGACAAGCCTATGCCTCCTCATGATTAAGTGAGGAAGCATAGGGTCCCTCCTCCTGAAAGAGCAGAAGTATTTTTTCTTATTTTTTAGGCACTGTTCCTGGAGCTCTTTCCTCTGTAGGATGAGGATTTTCAGTTCATCGATTGTTCCTGCATTTTGCTCCTCAAATTTCTTGCATTTTTTCTCCAGTTCTTCTAATTTTGCTTGTTTTTCATTAAGCTTTTCTTTCAGTTTTTTAGATTTTGCCTCCTGTATTCACTTTGCCTGTAGCATCTTTATATTCCCCTGTTGTACTTTGTTGTCTTCTAACTCCTCATTTCTGCTCTGGATTTCTTGAAGCGTATACTACAGGTCTTTATGTGTTTTCTTCAGTTCTTCCCTTGCACCTGTATTTCATTGTTTTTGCACCTCAAGTTGTTGTTAGGTTCTGTTTTTTCTCAGCATTTCATTGAACCTATATTGCATGTCTAAGCATTATTTTTTTCCAGTTTTTCCTTTTCTCCTTCTAGTTCAATGGTTTTCGCATGCATTTCATTATAACATGCGTGCAGTTGTAGATTTTTCCTTTCAAAGTCTTGGAGAATAAGTTGTGTTTTTTTCTGTATTTCTTCCTGTTGCTCTTTCTCTTGAAGCATTTCTGCATTTTTGTGCAGTGCTTCATCAAGCAGTATTTGCACATGATGTTTTTCCTCCATGTTTTGGAGTTTACATTCCATTTCTTTCTCCTTTATGTCCTCTTGTTTCTTCTCTTGAAGAAACTCTTTTTTTCCAGGGCTTCATCAAATTTTACTTGCAGCTCCTGATTCTTTTTCTCTGTGTCTTGGAGATTCCCATGTAGCTTCTGATTAATAGCTTGCATTTGTTGTGCTTGTTTGTAGTCATCAGGTTTACAATCTGCTGCTGTGCTTGATTAAACATTATTTCTCAGCCCTCCTTTATAATATCCATGTTGGGGTTATATTGCATACTTTTAGTTTCTTGCTGTTGTTGTTGGTTCATGAGAAATTCATTGTGCCTTTCTTCCAGACTCCCCAAAATGTCATTTGGGGAGTCTGGCTGGGCACCCTTGAAAGGAGAGCCAGCGTAAATGTGTTGTTTCTTGGGGTGTTTTCTCAGAAACACGTTGGAGTCTTGAAAGTGACTGTGTAAAAGATCCAACTGTTTCAAGATGTTTCTCAGGAAAATCAACATCAATTCAATGTCATCTTACTATCAGGGTTCTTCAGTCTCAGCTGACTGCAGGTTTCCCTAACCTAATGACTGAAACTATCACCAACAATTAGCCACAAACTCAGTTTCATGGTTGTTAATATTCAAACTGTCATGACCACTGATCAAAGAGTAGCAGTATGGCTCTAATCACAGCACTTAGCCAGAAGTTGTTTAGTTGCCCCAATGTATAACTCTCACAACACAGCAATCCTTTTGATACTTAATTGCAAATATCAGATATAAACTCATTTTCTATTGTGGGCCAAGTACAGCCCAGTTTGATTTTAAATGGGCCAGACCAGTGAAACTCTCTTTTCTGTCAGTGTAAAGACGTTTAACTACAAATTTAATCCCTGAGATAATTATATAAATATAATCTAAGAAAAAGAAATTCAGTTTTCAACAATACACTTACACACATCAGTTTTCCTACATGATAAAGGAATTCCGCTTTGGGCTTAAATTTACAGAAAAATGTCTATTAGCTCATCGCACAGACTGTCTTGTAATTATAAAATGGAACATTTTTATTAAATGACAGAATAATGTTTTTTTTTTCTTCTTTTTTTTTGCATGATTCTGACAATGAATCCACTGTAAAAATCAAACTTCTCTATAGTAGATCATGAAAAAAAAAACGTGATCTTCTCTTATTTAATCGTTCATTTTTTAATCATTGTCAAGTATAAATTTGACTCTTTGGTGGGGGATTTTGGCCCTTAGACCTTATGTTTGACACTGCTGGCATGGTACTGTTGCAGAAATAGCAAACACAGCAGTTAGAGTTTGAAAGCCACAGAGAAATGCACAGTAGGACAGTAGACAATAGGTCCTTCCCATACCGAGACGCTCATGTTTATCAGAGAATCATGGTTATATCCATAACCTCAAGTTTGTAATGATGCCCTCTTTATTAGGTATAACACCACATCTCCAGTTTACCTAAGGAAGTCCTGATTTTATTGTCCTTACTTGCCAGCAATGTAAGACATAAAGTATTCGAACGATTAATAGCCAAAGTCTCGTTGAATTGCTGGTTTTCTTTGGCACGGTGCTAAATTGCTGATAGACACCTCTGACCTTATATTCAAATTTAAAAGTGACTTGCTGGGACAGTGGATGAAAAGCATGAATAAGCAGGTCTTGCACAAACAGCGCACTACCCCGAGGCGCTATAACTTGGAAGTGAGACATAATTATAGTTTGTGTCGTGGTTGGGTTTATGTTTGCATGCCTCCACAATGTGTTTTGGATGTATGCGTGCCGCGCGTGTGCGGGCGTGCATACTACAGAGCGTGGCCTCTTATAATTACTGCTGCCATGGTCGTTGCTGTGCAGAAAATAACTCGAGGGACTGAAATACCAATGCTAATAAAGTCTTTACAAATATGTTTTGTTTTAATTGGTACTAATTAGTCCAATGAGAGGCAGAGCTGGTGAGACAGTGACTTTTTACCTGGATGGAGTAGGTGGCGACACAAGGAGGGCACAAGCCCCCTCCATCTGCATGCTTTTGCGCACGCGTAAAATGCATTCAAACGCACGCTCGCATACTTAAACTCTGGCTCATGGCCTATATGAACGAATAGTCACTGAATTCTTTCGGGGCCAGAAGGCAAAAATGACAAGGAAGAGGGATGCTGCGCTCCATCCAAGCCGAGCCGGCTGCGCGGTTATACGCGCGGTGGCACAACTACGGCCATCTAAAAAGATGCCAAGCCTTCCTGCGGTTATCCTGATTGTGCCAGTGATGCTGTTAGCCTCGGTCAAGCCAGCATCAGCTCATCCCCAATGCCTGGACTTTAAGCCACCTTTTAAACCTCCATGGCACCTGGAGTTTTGCAAACAGTATGAGCAGTTTGGATGCTGCGACCAGGGAACTGATAACATGATCGCGGAGAGGTACTGGGACATCATTGAACAGCTGGAAGCGGCAGGTCATGAGCTCTGTACCGACATGCTGAAGGAAATTATGTGCCAGGTAAATATATTCTATATATAAGTTTGAGGATTACTATTAATGCCATGATCATCATCATTACTTAAGGTGCACTGCAGTCTTTTCACGTCTGCTGCAGTTTTGGTTGTATGTTTTCCATTTCAAACAAACAAACAAACAAACAAATTCTTGAAAAAATTAAACATACACAACTTTTGATTCATTGTAGTTTATTCTAATTAAACTCAAGTTAAAATCAATTTAGGGTTACAATAATAAATCCCACAAAAGTTAAAGCATCACTTAACTTTATAGTTGTTATAAATGGTTGAATAGAAACTGCTCAAGTTTAAAGCAAACTAAAACTGGATACTCCCATCAGATATTAAATGTAACTACTAGTGACTGATAAACTAGTATTTCGCAAAAACAAATATTATCTAACTGTCATTGAGGTTTTAATCCAGAGTGCTTATATTTGTAACAATTGTCAATTACATCAGATTATGGTTTCCACATCTGAAATAAAAAACATCTGAAATCACTATGACATGTTTCCATATTTCATTTACACAGGCAAATTTGCAGAGGACAAACTTCCAGACATTCAAAGTGCTCTTATTTGAAAAACAAAACAAGTGTTTGTGCTTATGGGACACATGTATTCTTGATGTTGTGACTTAATGGCTCTCTTAGTCCAATAAATCATCTCCTCTGTGCACGACACTGCCCTGAAATGTCTTAATGGTAAACCACTGTGTTTGCCCCATCCAGGAATGCTCGCCATATGCTGCCCACCTCTACGATGCTGAGGACCCCTACACACCTGTGAGAGAAATTCCTGGTCTTTGCTTTGACTACTGCTCTGAGTTTCATTCCAAATGTCGCCACGTGCTTAAATATTTAACAGTCAACCAGCTGCTGCTGTACGCCGCAGAGCGCGACGTAACCACGTTCTGCAGCATGGTAGACCTGCCTGACCAAGACTACTGCTACCCCAATGTTTTGAAAAGCTCTGACCTGAATAGTAACCTGGGACAGGTGGTAGAGGACCCAAGAGGTTGTCTCCAGTTGTGCCTGACTGAAGTGGCCAACAATCTCAGGAACCCAGTGCTGATGCTGCACAGTGGAGATGACACACACCGAATGTTTATTGCAGAACAGATGGGCTTTGTTTGGGTTTACCTACGCGATGGCAGCCGGCTGGAGCAGCCTTTCCTGGATATGAGCGGGGAGGTGTTGACCACTCCATGGCTGGGGGATGAGAGAGGATTCCTAGGAATGGCTTTCCACCCAAAGTACCGGGATAATGGACGCTTCTTTATTTACTATTCCATCCAGGTCAGCAGTGAGCTGGAAAAAATCAGGATCAGCGAGATGAAGGTGTCTGCCTATGACATGAACGTGGCTGATCCCTACTCAGAGAGGTATGCAGAGGGAGGGTCTTTCTTTCATGATGTGGGTCTGCACAAACTACATAGGCTTTATCATCATTCAGGGGAGGGGCTGTAATTACACCAACCCTTGCATAAACATGTTCAGGGCTAAACACTACATATCAATTTACGATTTTCTGGGATTCTGAGGACCATTAAAATTCACAACCTACCCTGAACTTTGCAGCGTGAAACTATGTAAATATCTCAGTGAAACACAAAAAGGAGTAGTCCTTCACTTTGTTTTAGGCCTTCTAAACAGTTATTGCTCATAATCCTAAAATTTTACCGGAGATATATTTAATTATTATATCCCCAAACCCCCTATAGTATGTTATAGACCCACAAAAAACTTCAACACTTGTGTTACATTTAGGAGCACTCAGAGAAATGACAACTCTCCAGCAGGTTTTCTTTCTTTGTGCAAGCAAGCATAAGCCAGACACTAACTGTAAAACGAGGGGGCGGCAGGAACAATATCCAAATGCAGCACACACAGAGGCACACGCAAGGTCAAAATCCACAGCAAACAAACCAGAGAAGAGCAGGGGAAAGTGAAAGGCCATTAAAAGGTTCAAACAACAACGCACAATGCATAAAGGTTTTGTGCAAACGTTTTACCAAAATGGTGATCTAAAGAGATACGTCTTTAGATCACTTGTGAGAGAAATCACAGAATCAGCATTACACAGTACAGGTGCTGTGTTTGATCTGCTCGGGTCCTTAGGCAGATGCGTGGAGCAGACAGTAAATTTACCTTATTTGCTTACATGAGCGAGCTGAAAAGTACTATTTAAGGAGGTTGAGCACATGTTGGAGAACCAGCTGTAAACCAGCTTGTTTCAGTTTAAGGATTGTTTTGAATAAATTGCTTCAGTCACTGCTTTAACAAAGAAACAGGCTGCCAGAGAACATTACACATAGGTGAGAATCTTTGAGGTAATAGTGCCTTAAGCCTTCTCTGTCATCACTTTTTCAATAGAATGAATTTTACTGTATAGGGCATGAATGACAGACACCAAAGCAGCTGAAGAGTTGAATGTTGGATTAAAGCTAACCTTGGGCCACACTTCAGAAACTTGACAACTTGATAAAAAAGTATTTTAAAGTATACTTTATCTAATTGTTCTGAACTGCATGCATTTTACATTCAGGTTCATTTTAGAGATCGAGGAGCCAGCTGCAAACCACAACGGAGGCCAGCTGCTTTTTGGTGTTGACGGCTATTTGTATATCTTCACTGGAGACGGTGGAAAAGCTGGGGATCCATTTGGGAAGTACGGCAACGCACAAAACAAGTAAGGTCCTTCAGGTTTCCTCAACTGAAAATAATAACCTAGTCAAATATGTGAACACTGATTTAACCATAAAGCCATTATGTTAAGCCTGGTATTGCTGTTGTTAGCTGTTATTTTTATTAATCTATTTAGCCAAACTTTTAGCTAACTGTGTCTCCATAGCCTTCAGCTACACCTACCCTTCATCTATACATACGTTTCTGAGTTATAAAGAGTTTATACAAATATTTGATTATTTTGGCTTTTTTTTAGGCATTTTTAGCCCTTATTGGATACAGACAGAGTAAACATACAGGAAAGTGGGGAGAGAGAGAGGGCCCACCATCCAGAGGAATCGTTGTAGGAGTCGGGTGGATTATGCAGCAGTATCAATGTTCTTATATTACTTAAAACTATTCAGCCATTTAAAACATTACCATTTATTAACTGTTTGTGCAATATGACCTGGCACTCAATCAAAGCATGTTTATTATACCCCAATGTACTATAAGAATGCCTAATTATTAATCCATTATCTACACCTGTATTTATCTTATATTAATCATTTTTTCACTTAAGGCCTCTACCCTGAGTTTTTCATTTATTTTCTTGGTATCCAGAAGTGCTCTTTTGGGAAAAGTGCTTCGCATTGATGTGGATGGAAGTGACCCCAGTGGCATGCCATACAGGATCCCCCCTGACAACCCATTCCTCAGGGACCCAGGTGCCCGGCCAGAGGTGTTTGCTTATGGGGTAAGAAACATGTGGCGATGTTCCGTGGACCGCGGAGACCCGGTGAGCGGCTACGGCAGAGGTCGGATAATCTGCGGGGATGTTGGTCAAAACCGCTACGAGGAGATTGACATTATTATCAAAGGAGGAAACTATGGATGGAGGGCCAAAGAGGGCTTTGAGTGCTACGACATGAAATTGTGCCAAAACTCCTCCCTGAGTATGTTTTCTGTTCTTATGAAGCTTCCCCAGTCAAGTCAAGAGCTATTTTCTGTCTGCTTGAAACGTTTGCCACGTTTTATTTCCATTGTTTTTGATTGTTTTCATTCTCAGAGTTAAATTAGGTTTGTCTTTCTCTGCCACAACAGATGACATCCTCCCTATATTTGCATACAGCCATCATGTCGGGAAGTCTGTGACAGGGGGGTATGTGTACAGAGGATGTGAATCACCCAATCTGAATGGCTTGTACATTTTCGGAGACTTCATGAGTGGGTAAGACTATGTTTATCTGAGCATTTTCAAACCTGAATTAAAAAAACCCCAATTGGTCTGTCTTCTCAGTTACCTTTACATTTTTTATTTAATTCGCCTGCTCCAAGTGACATAACGCTGTCAACCTTTCAGTCGAATTATGGCATTAGAGGAAGACAGGACAACAGGAAACTGGAAAGAGAGGAGTGTGTGTATGGGTGATACGCAGACTTGCTCTTTTCCCGGACTCATCAATAAACACCACAAGTTCATCATCTCATTTGCTGAAGATGAAGCAGGTAAGATTTGATCAGTCTGTTTAAGCGTTTATCACAGGATCAGACCCGTGTGACACTGCTGACAAGCTGTTTTTGTCATCCAGGGGAGCTGTACTTCCTGGCTACGTCATACCCGAGTGCCATGTCGGCTTTTGGAACCGTGTTTAAATTCATGGACCCCTCCAGGTATAGTGTCAGACCAGGTGTATATTACATTTACACATTATGGACGTGCTCTGTGTTAAATGGGAACACCTGCTTGGAGCAATTATTCAAAAAGACAGGCGTGTTTTTCAAACAAGCTTTAATTCAAGTTATTTGCTGTATGCAAAAGAGCCAAATAATTATGAATTGTACATAAAGGAAGAACAAAGGATGTGTCTTCCAACAATCTGTTGCATCCTAGGCAGTCTCTTTACCAGAGAAGTCCTGAAACGCTAACACAGTATGACAAGAATGACATTTTGTATCAGTCATTTAAAGCAGCAGGATTCTAACGTTTGACATCTCAAAGGGTTTTTTTTCTATAGGATCAAAATTAGGGGCAGGCCCTTACAAGCACACATTTTTTCCTTTCAAGTAAAATCCAGTGAGCCATTATGAATCTGTATCGAGCAATAATGTCATGATAATAAGGCATTTTAATTGTTGTTAAAAAGAGAAGGCCTTCAATTTTTTCAATTTTACTTGTGAGTTAACACAAATCCTATCCAATCCAACTTGAAATTGTTTAGGGTGGAAAGCTTTATTAGAGTTTTCAAAACCTACAGTCATAATAAAAAGAAAGTAGACTTTCTTTCACTTCTACGTTTTTATGCATCAGTACATCAAAATCTAGTTCTTACCAGGTCTTTTATTAGGTAAATATAAGCTCAGACAAACAACAACACATCATACATTAGACTGTTTCATTATTTTTCTAATATAAACTAAGCCAAAATGCTGAAGCAGTGTGTGTAAATACTAAGTATATCCTCACTGCTTCCATAAGAATTAAAAGGGTAGATAGGATCTAATCAAATGCACTTGATTAACTGATTATTAGCAAGTGTGAGTGTTGGCATTTGGTCTGGAGCATTCAGGTGTGTTAACACAATGCCAAGTACCAAAGACATCAGCAATGATTTTAAAGAAACAATTGTTACTCCCCATCCATCTGAGCACAGATATAAGACCATTTCCAATTAATTTCAACTCCATCTCCGTCATTCAACAATGCAAAATATTACTTACACTAAACATTCAAGACAGCTGACAGTCTTCTCAGGAGTGGAGCGCCACACTCGGAGAGACGCAAACACAGCATATCAACACAAATACCTCATACCGGCTGCACAGTAGTGGAGGGCATCTTGTGGTCATTGAGTCGACCATGAACTCTATATTTGAAGTTTTCGAGAGGTAACAGGTAAAACTTGGCTAAAATTAAGTCATGCAACAGCAGAATGACCCTAAACACAGCAGCAAATCTGCTGAATGAGTCTTAAGTCCTCAACCTGACTGAAACGCTGTGGCAGGACCTTAATAAAGCTGTGTTTAAATTAATGCCTCGAACATCAATTAACTGAAATAACATTATAAAGAAGACGTTATTGCTGCTAAAAGTGATTCCACTAGTTACTGAATGATTTAGTGTACTTAATTTATTTATTTACTTTTAGTTTCTGCATTTTGGCTTAGTTTTCATTGAGTAAACAATGATCTACTGTAATATTTCACAGGTTCATATGAGGTTGTACTCACTTGATAAGAACCAGATGATGTTTTTATGTCTCGACACATAAACCTTAGAACCAAAAGAGTGCGTACTTTCTTTTTACTGTGACTTTACATTGGATGGATGCTGTGGGAAAGTTTTTGTACAGAAAATAACTAAACTTTTTAAATAAAATAAATAACAATACGATTGTGCTGTCCTAAAGAAAACAACAAAGACAGAGTTACTATCTTGTCATTAAAAAAGGGACTTCATTTACTTTTATAGGAGAGCACCTCCTGGGAAATGTAAGCAAAAGCCACTCCCTGTCAAAGTGAGGGGGAAAAAGTTTCCATTTGTGCCACAGGAATGTAAGTAACTTCAAACTTATCTTTGCATTTCAATCACTTCTCGATCTGCATATCAGACCTGTTGTAAATCTGAGGTCGTCTAAGAAAGTAAAGACATTTATTTTAACCTGAAACGTCTAATATTTCGAGGTGCATTGAATATAAACATATACACACCATATTATCAAGTCAATTAACCTGATGTTAGAGGTTAGCGTAAGCGTTACACAAGCCACATTTAAGCAAAATCTGTTCTTGCAGACCGACAAATTGCCTGGGTTCAATGTTTACTCATGCATGCATGTCCTGAGCAGAACCTGCTTTTTTTCCCCCCTCTCTGGATTTACTGTCTACATGCTGCCAAATTGTATAATCACACTGGGCTCATACATAAAACTATAGAAAGCAGCATCCAGTTTTACATCAAACATATTTAAAATAGAGACAAGCATTCCAAACATTTAGGCTCAGCCAGATATGCACACCATCTAAAAAAAACTCAACACATGTGGTTGTAGAAGAGTAAAATGGTGAAAATGGGTACTTATTGACATCTGTGCCATTTCAGTGACTGTGCTGGGCACAAATGAAAAACCTACCAGACCACCGCCAAGAAAATTCAAACTCCCCACCAAACCGCCGGTGAGGAGCAGCCAGATCACAACTACGATGACTGCAGCAGGCAACTCAACGACGGGCACCGCTGTAAAGGTCAAACCGAAATCATCGGACAAAGACACGAAGAAGAAAAATATGCTGAAACCATGGAAAAAAGACAAAATGCTGAACAAGAAAAAAGCCAGCACACAAGCAAAGAAGAATACTTTGAAGCAGAAATCTAAGAAGACGACTGTCAGCGTCAAAGATAAAGTAAAACCAAAGACAAATCAAACCGCCACAGAGACTTTAAACACTTCAAACGCCCACAATGGCCTGAAAGATAACAAAATCCACACAAAGAGGAAGATCCCCCAGAGGGAAGCTGCGCAGAAGCAAAGTGGACCAAAGATGAAGATTAAAGAATCTACAAAAGAGTATCCTGCCTTTGTGAACAAAACTAAGACAAACTTCAACGTAAGAAGCAACAGAACACTGACAAGACAGCTTAAGGTGAAGAGCAAACAAACATGAGTCTGATTATGGCTTAATCAGATTTCGTCTTCATGAAATGATAGTGTTGACTGGCACATCTTAAAGCAATAGTTCTACTCTTATTTTCAGCTATGGGAAGAGTTATTCCACTCCCATGTATGCACAGAGACAGCAGCTTAGTGCAAAGGCTAACGACAGAGGCGAGCTCCTGAAGACTGGCTCTATCAGAGAATCAATTCACCAGCACTTCTAAAGATTGCTAATTATTATTTCACCTTTATTGTTGACGCTGGAGTCTCCGATTCCAGATATGAGCAGCCTCTGCCAAAATGCTGAACAATTCCTTTAAAGCAGTGTTTCTCATATTGGTTACCAGTAGAAAGTACAGCAGTGGGTACTTGAGATTTTTATATTCATTTAAATACCAGTTGTGCATATCTCTGAAAAATAAACTTCAATAAACTAAATTTCATATTCAGCATTCTTTTCAGTGCAGTCGTTTTAGCTGTTGTAACTGTTGAAAGCATCACTGAAGAAGAAAGTAACACATATAATGAGCAGGATGCCAGTTTCAAAATATGTCAAAAGAAAAATGGATTCACGGTTGAAACACATCCGACATACCAACTGTTAAGTGCTCCACATCTTCCTCTAGGACTTTCTTTTCTTCTGCAACTTCATAAATTAGACTTTAAAGTCACAAGTGGAAAACATTTAACCTTCCCAGCACCCCAAGGAGAAACTCCAGAAAAACTGAAGAGCTTCATATCAGACCGTACAGGTCTCGGTTAGCATCTTAAATGTTAAAATTCATGGCAAATCTACAAAAGGGAGGCTGAAAAAAAATCAAAGAATCAAGGTGAAGCGCAGACTTCAGCCAGGTTGAAATGCTGTGGTGGGATCTTAAGAGAGCTGTGCTGTCCACAATCCTCGTGGAACTGAACACTGTAATAAGGCAGAGCTAAAATTCCTCCACAACAATGTGAAAGACTGATAAAGTCACACAGAAAACAAATAACTGACCAATGTTGTTCTTTCTTTTTACCATGTGGGCATATTTTTTCTTTTCTACCAACACGTTTATCACTGCTCAGGGATGTGCATGCAATTATGCATGTAACAACACTGTTTCCTTTATATTTTATATTTAGCTGTCATAAAATCCTTGTTCCAAGTTAAACTCTCCCCTGCCTGTATTTAGAACATATCAGCTTAGTCTAAAATCTAAAGAGGCAGCAAACATAAAACACAACTTCTATTTATACCCAGGCCCAGTTTCTGAAATTACTCTAATTTTACAACTCATGAAAGTGTTAAAAATAAACATTAACAAGTATCCTTGACTCTCAGAAGCTCTCTGTAATTAAACTCTGCACCACTGATCTTAACTTAAACTTAAACCGCCGTGACCATGACTTGTATAATGTCTGCTGTAAACATAAAGCCACCCCGACTTCCACGTGCCTGAGGCAGCCTGAGGTTACAAAAGTTTCACAATTCAGCATTTCCTTGGTTTCCGGACTTGATGCCTGTGTCGTAAAATATTTTATAATTTCTATAAAGTGTCTGAAATTGGTGTATCGTTTTGATTTTTGGTGAAAGGCTCCAATAAGCTTCACATAAGAAGAGGAAACATTACAAAAATCATAGATGCACGTACGCTATCCCAGCTATAGCTCAATATAATCTTACCCTAGTCATCTGTTTAAAAGCCCCTAATAGCAATGTAATTGCAGTGATTTTGTCGGTTTCAGCTCACACTTGCTCATCACGATCTACAAATCAAGTTCTCGTGGAACAGGACAATATTTCACAAAGACAAACCACAAAAACTGGGTCATAGAGTCGAGCATGGTTGAAAAACTGTACGGTGCTTCACAAATCGACAGTAAGCTCATCATCCACAAGTGTCTGCTTTATACTTCTGATATGACATGAGCATGCCCAGTCATGACAACAATCCTGCAGCAATACAATGCTTGATAACAGACATACAGTATTTTGTAATATGACATGAACCTACCATGCGAAGTCATCATATACAGCTCATGGAATATAATTGTACCTCATCCTAATCTGATCCAGGCCAGATTATTCTTCAAATAATCTACATACAATTTGAGATGAACACCACCATCAGACATATGTGGAACATGTGGAGCACTTAACGATTGGTATGTCTGATGTTTTCATCATTATTTAGTCAGCAAAAACTACATACAGCCACGTCCTGTTAAATAAAATCAAACATCGAAAAGACTGAACAAGTAAGGCTTGTTAGGAAGGGTTGACGATAGAAAGCCTCTTCACTCTAACACGGCAGCACAGTTTAGGTGGAAACTCAAAATGATTTGGGCAATTTGTGTTAACTGAGTCGACTTTAAACTCCTCTGTGTACCAAAGTGCTCATGAGTGAAACGTGAGGCCATCTGTCCAAAAGCTAAAGCTTAGCTGAAATTGGGTACCGTGAATTTAAGCACTCCACATTAAAGGTTCCATATTAAATTGCACTGATTTGGGAAAGAAATAATTTAAAGTGATGCCGGGTTTAAATGTGTAGGTAAGTCTACTATATGTTTACTATATGTTGCTTAAAACCACAGATTCCTTACAAATTACAGACTCACGTAACTATGTTCCAAGTTCAAGCAGCTGGGTGGTGCAACACATATCTGCTTTTTAGCTTTAACACAAACACACACGCTCCTTAAAAAAAACCTTTTTAAGCGACAACCATTTGTTTCCCCCTTCACTTTTGGACTCGACATTCTCAGTTTGGTGTGACAAGGGTATAAAACAGTTCAAACATTTATATGTGGATGGTGTTTTCGATAGTTTTCCCAACTTGTCCTCTCGTTATAATCTCCCTATTACCCATTTGTTTCGCTATTTTCAAATTCGAAATTTTGTTGCCAAGTGTTTCCCAAATTTCCCCTCTTTACCTCCAGAACAGCAGTGGGAAACTACGTTATCATTTATTCCTCATCACAGAGGAACCATTTCGAAACTCTATGATGCTATTCTGTCTTTTAGTAACCACTCTAATGTTAAGCTTAAGTGTACGTGGTAAGGAGAACTAGGAATTCAAATACATGAGGAGTCTTGGGAACAGGCTATAGCGAGGGTACGATCCACCTCCTGTGCTCGTCTTGGACTTATTCAATTTAAGGTCATACACAGGGTGCATTTCTCTAAGTCTAGACTTTCTGAATTGTATCCAGAAGTGGAAAATAAATGTGAT